AGAGAGAGAGTAAAAAAGAGAAGTCAGGGTGAGGGGCTAAGAAGTTAAGAAAGAAGGAACTAAATGGACTGACAGACAGACAAACAGACACACAGACAGACAGACAGAAAGACAAACAGAAATGTACTGGGATAAGGGTACATGTGTGCGTTTGCGCGTGTGCGCTTACATTCTGTTATAGAATACAATTGTTTCATGGAGTTACATGCTATTACATGTACTTAGAATAAAGACACAGCGCTGAGAGTCATACAAATTGTTTTAGAGGAACGAAAGCACCGACTCGAGAGGCTAAGATAGTATATGGGGTTTAAAAGGAGAGTTGGGAGGAAATTTACAATAATATTATCTGTTTATAGTTTCAGGGTTCAACTTTCAGGCCCTATTTTTCAATATCTCTATAAAATGTGAGGCAGCGTGGTGGAATCAGGCTCTCGTCAATTTTTGGGCATGCAGAGTTATTGATATCATCTTAAAGCTTGTTCACTTGTCTTTATTTGGATTTTTAAAATATCCATTTAACTTATAATACAAGTCGCGATATTTGCGAAAGAAGGAGGTGGGGGTCACCTGTTTTCAGATGTAAAATTAATGAAAAAAATGGCCGCCAAAGATTAGTTGTTAACTAAGCTTAAGTGTCCGTGATAACTGAAAATTAACATTTTTTTGTGCCTTTAATCAACGTTTTTCAGAAACATCTACAAGAAATGAGTTCTTTAATGGGCATGAAAGGTGCTTAGTCTAAAAACAAAAAATTGATAAAAATTCACAAACCTGCGGAAAAATGCAAGTTTCATCACTTTGATTATTTTGACGAGAGCCTGATTCCACCACGCTGCCTCACAAATGGAGTGGGAAAAGGGGTGGGGAGGAAAATGACCAATATTATCTGTTTATAGTTTCACAGTTCAACTTTTAGGCCCTATTTTTCAATATCTATAAAAAAATTATTAATATTCATCATCCGTCTGTTCCTCTTCTTCTTGCCATCAAAAGGAAATTGAGACTGTCAGGCAGATTTTGTTCTCTGGAACCATAAGACCAATGAAACGCTGGGGCGTTGTTTTTTTTTCAAGTCTAAGAGCTTTTGAAGGGAGAGTGAACATAGAATGACATATCTTTTTCAATTTCCTTTACGTCACCATCGTCGTCATCATCCTCCTTTTCGTCGTCTTCGTCATCCTCATCCTCCTTCTCTTCCTCCTTCTCTTCCTCCTTCTCTTCCTTCTTCTCTTCCTCCTTCTCCTCCTTCTCCTCCTCTTTGTTGTCATTGCCATCGTCCTCGATATCGTCCTCCCCTTCCCCCTCCCCATCCTATTCCACCCTGCCCTCATCCTCCTACTCC